AAGCCTCCACCAGCCCCTGCTTCCGCACAGTCCCTGGGCAGAAGGCTACAGGTGAAGAAAGAGTAACGTCCACGTAGATATTGTATTACTGCAGATAAACAAAATAGTCTCAAATTTTAGAAGCAAGAAACTGGTTCTTACCTGTGGTGTAGATAACGTGTACAGGATGGGGTTTAAGGCCGAGTTTATCGGGAGCACAAACACAGCTAGCCACACAGCTAGGTCTCCAGGAGAAGAGAAAGACTTTTCCAAGATTGACCTGAGTCCAATGACTATCACGGGCATCCAGCAGGCACAATCGGTAAGGATGATACAGAAAACCCGCCTAGCAAGGGCTCTTTCTCTTTTTGCGGTGGCTGATTTGGATCTGGCTTGGATCTCTCTGGCAGTACCTTGGCGGGCCATACGCCGACTCGATAGGTAGGACTTAGCGAATATCATGGTATAAGCAACCGTGATAAAGAGGAAAATGGCAAAGTTAAGGCCAACAAAGAAAGCAGCGGAGTACTCCCATCCTACTGGCTTTTTAGAAGTAAGTTGCAGTGGCAGGCAAACAACAGATCTGCCATAGTAAGTGTGGTACCCGTAGGGGTGATCAAAATACGGAAGGCCAAACATTGGAAAGAATGCAATCAGGAAACCAACAACCCAGATAATGAAGCACAGAATGTGCGTCGCCCTTTGCGTAAGAGCAGTACCATCGTAAGGGAACACAATATTCTTAAGCCGGTCAGCGGAGATCAGAGACATCATCATTAAAGACACCTCACTGGATAACAAAGCGATAGCCCCTGTAAGCTGACAAGACCAACCAGTACGCCACTTGAAGTCATGCAGGTAATACTTCCCAGACCACAGAAGATCTTTCGTACCCACTGTGTATAGATATATTCCGTTCAAGCCATCAGACACCGCCAAATGCCTTAACATGATGTTCTGTACCACGTTTTTTTCTTTGAAGATCCTTCTCCAGATGAGAACGAATACCGAACCAATGATTGAGAGGGATCCTATCACCCAGATACTTGTCCTTGGGGCTGGATTCCTGAACATGCTCTCACAATTGGCAAAGTTGTCGTTGAAAGCAAAGTCACAGCCAGCGTCTTCCTTGTGCAGATGGCAGCACATCAGGTTCGTGTCCACAGTCCTAAAATCCATTAAATACCTGTATTACAACCATAGAGCACTTTGGGAAAGGTACCCTTTCTTTAGTAACCTACAAGAACTCTCTTGTCAAATGTGAGATTAAAATTGCTATCTTTTGTTGTAACAAATCATGCACTTGGAGATTTGAGACTTTTTCCTATAGTTATAATAGTGGCATAGGACGAAATATGAAACATCATGCAGACTGTAGCTACCACAGCATCATCTTATCCTCGACTATATGAAGTTGAATTTATGCTTAACTGTGCTCAAGACAGGTTAATCTCGTTCAACAATGATAAGAATGAAAAGCCTTTTCTTACTGATTAATTCGTGGTTGGTCTAGTTAAATCACGATCTATTGACAATCTTACACTCTCATGATGTCCTTTAAATTCTTAAAGAATCCCTCTGGAAGCTCGTTCATCTCGTTGTAATGCATGTATCTGTAAGTTAAGAAGTTCCATAAATGGT